TTCACAGGTCATCACCACTGCTCATATGCGGGGAAACAAATGCATACAAGGGAGCCAACACTGATGGGAAATATGGCCGCCATATGCTGCAACCTTTGCAGCAGCTTTCAACGTGTGCCAATGATGTGGAGATCATTTAAGTCACAAAGACTAGAGAGAGAGGGAGAGGGAGGGCGAGGGAGAGAGACATAGAAGTAGAGAGACAGATAGAGAAACAGAGACGTAGACCTTTGATCTTTGAATTCTCCATTTATATTAAAAAATGGAGCATCAGTGAAATGTTACCTTTTATTTTATTTTTTTAAGGTTAGCCAGATGCTTAATCTAGCCTGTCCTAAAAGTACATTAACCAGGGTGTTGGGTGTGTGACTTAGTAATTAACTAGGGCCAAAAATGAATATCTCAGCATCAAAGGTTTGCTGTGAACCGGAGAGTAGTTTCTGAAGTAGTATGAGAAGTGGGGGCAGTCTGAAACACTTCAGCCACAAGTGGCCAAGTGTTTCCTCCTGAGAGTAGATGGGGCAGTTTTCACTAGTGCCAGGGTCTATGTATACCAAATGTCAGTTCGTGGCCACAGCCCCATGTACTATCCTCCACTGAAGATCAGCAGTGGGCTTTTCAATATGGGGTTTGTACAGGGACTCCCAGCTGCCTTTAGGAGCCAAAAACCCCAACCACCTTGACCCCTATACTCCAACCAGTGATGCTTGGTTGAAAACCTTTACTGCGACCATATATAACACTTTCTTGGATGCTGCCTCATTTTGACTTAATCCACCCCACAACTTGAACAGAATACTGACATTTCCTGGTTATTTTAACTGAGTAGCAGGATTGATTAAAACACAGAGAGCCAATAAAAGAATGACAATGACCTGAAGATGTGACCCACATCTCCATATAACCACAAGGACTGATTACAGTGACATAGCGAGATGTGAAGATTAAACTAGGCCTGTTTGTCTGAATATAGAAGTGTCTGTATGAAGACAGCAGGAACCCCTTGGTTCTAGAGCGTGTATATTTTCTGTGGCACTGCGCCGACTTGTTTTGTTGGAATTCTTGTGGAATGTCTACACTGATTACAGCAGCAGTAAATGGACCAGAGTACATGACTCTCTGGGGCCCACATGAGGACAGTCGTATGTTGTGATTGACGCCAAAGATATGAACGCGTGAGCTGGCGTATGTATCAGAAGACGGCGTAATTAACAGTATATACAGACAGACAGACTGAGAGGTTCTGATCATTTTCTACATCAAACACACTGCAGATTAATCTTTGCAGTGTTAACAACACAAATACCTCAGTACCATCAAGCATGTGGAAATTAATAGACGCATCAGATCACATGACTTTGACTCACCATGGATCTCTTTGATGTTAAGGGCATTCTGGTGGAATTTATGCTTCAGGATCAGCTGCTCCAGATAGTAGAAGGTCTTTTTATGAACAGTCTATGATACATCAAGCAAAAACTTGGCATCAATATTTCTCTACTTTGGTCATCCAAATACACTCAATCTGGTGCAATAGTTCAGACAAATTTTATAAACACTAGTATCATCGTCAGAAAACTGTGGTTCCTACACAACTTCATTTTAAACAAAGAACGTGTGTTAAGGACATGAAGTGAGAGAGATGTCAAATCTCTGATCTCACTTTAAAAATTTAAAAAGTTATAATGTTAAATTAAATGTTAAATTAAAAAAAAGTTATACTGTAAACACAAGAGTAATAATCAAAAGAGATGATGGCTGGTGGCTTGATATACCATAAGAGTCATTTTATATTCATATATTTATGTGCATGATCAATTTAAGTGGAAAAACATTAGTTATAAACTGATACAACATATATATATATATATATATATATATATATATAAAATAAATGATTTTTCAGGGCCAAGACCTTCTTTAGCTGACAACAGCCCTACTAGAAGTGTTGGCAGTTTACTACACAGCAACATATCCTTCTAAAAGCAACGGAAAAGAAAATGTGTGTTAATTCATCAGTGTGAATATTAAAGGTAAATGTGTGATGATGTTTATTGTTCATGGCTGAAATAATACTGAATTTAGGATAAACTTTGTCAATAAATACACTTTCTACTGTAGAAGAAACATGATATCAAACTGAGAGGAGAGGTAACAGAAGCACAAATACACTGTCTGAGATGGAATTTACTTATTTATGACCAACCTTCTGCCTCAGTTGGACCACAGCCTTCCAAAAGTCTTTGGCTTCTACACGATGGCAGTCATCACACATCTGAGACTGGATGACAAACTCCACCACGAACACTTGCTGCAGGATGGCTCCATTCATCACCTGCAGAGACAAGGATATTGACAATATTATGATTTTATATATCGTTTATAATGGAGCAAATGTAATTGAAAAGTTTATCCAGAAATGTGACGTCTTATGTTTGCATCCCTGAGTAATCTAGTGACAGTCAGGCAACTGAGACCAGGAGAACGTTTTCCTGAACTGATAGAAGAAAGACTAGAATCTGCAGTCTCAGGTTCCACTTAGACTTTAAGAAGATGAGACCTAATTTATTTAAATGCTATTTATTTTAAGCGCTTGGCGTTACTTCAGAAATTCTTAATATTAACCAACTCCTGTTTTTAAGACATGTAAAATGCCAACAACTGATATGGTTCAATGTCACTGTCCCTCTTTTATCACATTTTTGTCCACACCTCCTTCTGTATAGTGACTTTCATTTTAATCCTCTTGGAGTGTGGTTCGGTCCACAAAAATCCAGCATCAATAAGGCGCACCTGTGATGAGAGAAGTGTTGTTGAATCACCCACTACAACATTCAACATTTTATCATGCTTCATACTCTTGTGTTGAGAGACACATACGGTCAAGTTTTTTTTCTAATAAAAACACACAACATATTGACTGTGGTTAGAAAGTTTAGAATCCAACTTACTTTAGACATAGAGTTCTTAATTTTCTTCAGACACAGTGCCAGCAGTTCTCTGGACTCCAAAGCACACTGTACCCAGGTGCCTGGGGGCTGTAAGTATCTGCAATGAAGTAGGAAATGTGCATTTAAACCTCAATGTTTCAAAATATCAAAAACGATGCTATACTGTATATCTGATATCTGTTCTATATATATTTTTAAATATTTTTATAGGTGCATGATAATATCCATTTTATTAGTATTCCTGAAACAAACCTTTCACACTGCTTGCAGAAATGCACTGTGACTTGCTTTGGAATTCCCTCGGAGATGTCTACCTGAGTGCGCAGGCAGGCAACACACATATTTGCTGGGTTGGGAGGAATTGGAACGCCACAAGTGCAGCACAGGCTGTAGAACAATATTGCAACAGAGAAATATTATTAAATCAGACATTATTTATGTATGTATTCTTTGTGCAGATTTTTTCCATTAGGAATTACATAAGGTATAAGATGACATTTGACAAATCGCAAAAGTGGCAGTAATGAAGTTGACTTACATATTTCCCTGGCTGCTTGTGGCAGGAGCTTTCATGTACTCCATTCTCCCGATATCGATAGTTTACAGTAGGTAGGTGAATGAGTGTTGTTCTGAAAATAGGAACGTTACAGATTTTCTTGGAGGAATTTCAGCTTTAACGTATAGTGTTAAACATTAAAAATATATGACAGCCATACTTTGGGGCGACAGTTAGCATCAGAGGCTAATCTATTATTTTGACGGATAATGGAACAAAAACAGCCTTTAAATGTCATCCAAAATTCAAAATTGTTCAATTATCTACACCCTGTCACGCAGAGTCGTTAAAAAAGTACAAACGTGTTTTTACTTACAGATCCTCCGTAAAATAAAAATCAGAAAGCTCCCCCACGTTTTCTCCAGGCGGACCGAAATGATGACGTCATCCGGACCTAAAAGACCTCGGCAGTCCCTTTGGATGCCTGAACAAATTTTACAATAAATAAATAAATTATATTTAATGTTCACAGAAATGTAATTTAATTAATTATAAATAATTGTTAGTTTTGAAAAATATTCTTCTTATACCTATAGAAATTAAATGAAAATTAAATGAAGCGACATTCAAGGGATTTTCAAAACATGACCTCAAAGAATTAAGCATGTATATAAATAAAACAAGGCACACACAATACTTAGAACTCATGTCAATATTTTATGTAATGCACAGAAATACAAAAAACAAATAACTTTGAGGTAGTAAATTGAAGTAAATTGTCAAATTTGTCAAATTGTCAAAAAAACAGAAACAACCATTTCTAAACTGATGTAGTAGAAATTCGTACGTGTTGAAGTATAACTGTTAAATTAAAGGTAGTTGGTTTGTTAGTTGGTGGGTTGGTTAATCAGTCTGATAATTGTTTGGTAAGTTCGTTTCTTAATTCTCAACATTTGCGTTTACCAGCAATAAATAATATGATTGGACAAAAGAACAACGTGAGGTCTCAGCGAAATACGAGCTGCACCTGAAGGCATCAAAAGCAGCGGATACAGCTTATTGTAATAAAGGTTAACTTTTCGATCTATGTAACAAATTCACAACTTTAGACAACTATTCAGCAAGTAACACGCACATGTTGTAAAATTCGACTACCGCACATACTTTTACATATTTTTTATACAGATGGCGAAAAGAATCCGAGTTTTACTAAAGGCACCACGGCCGTGCTTTCGGAGAGCAGCAGCAGCGGCTGCAGACTGAGTCGCAGTCTGTGTGGCAGCAGCTGGGAATGTGAGCCTCAACCAACACCGCTATTTTCAGGAGTCCGGAGGAGGCTCCACTGTCTCGTACTCAATGCATTCAGCGCAATAACTCTTATCCAGAGCAGAGGGGGGGGCGCTGTTTTTGGACGTAATTTCGATATCACAGACATTTTCTGGTGCTTCTCACTCACTGCGGGGCTGCGTGTGAGTGGAAACCGCGTTTGTCAACTGTCAGCTCACGTCTGCTGGTAAATAATAACCACAACAATAGTGCAGTAAAGTGTCGCACGTTAAAGCGTTCTAGTCGTAATATTTTCCGGTGTTTTGTGCTCAGTTTGAATGTACCAGTGTGTGCCAACGCTGCCAAACAACAAATCACGCCGACGACCATGGAGTGAAACCTGCGAGCGAGCCAACAACCTGCCGTGATCTCTGCCTGTGAATAATTAAATGATAGAGGATACGATGACCCTGCTCTCTTTGTTGGGTCGCATTATGCGTTATTTTTTGCTCAGACCTGAGACCCTGTTCCTGCTGTGCATCAGCCTGGCTCTGTGGAGTTACTTCTTCCACACGGACGAGGTGAAAACCATCGTCAAGTCCAGCCGGGATGCGGTCAAAATGGTCAAGGGGAAAGTCGCGGAGATGATGCAGAACGAGCGCTTCGGCGGGCTGGACGTCCTGGATGCAGAGTTCTCCAAGACCTGGGAGTTCAAGAGCAACAATGTGGCCGTGTACTCCATCCAAGGCCGGCGTGACCACATGGAGGACAGGTTCGAGGTGCTCACCGACATCGTCAACAAGAGTCATCCCTCAATATTTGGTGTTTTTGACGGCCACGGTGGAGAGGTGAGTACAGGCCATCTGTCTGTGAAAGTTTGAAGTCATTTTGGGGCATTTTCATCTTGAGAAGTTGACAATTAGATTTGTTTAAGATGCACCATGGAGAGCGGTTATGGCTCCTGCTTACAACCATAAGTCACCTGTTCGACCTCCAGTGGCGTAATGGTTTTTATGTATTTGTTGTATGGAATATTAACACGTAAATATCTGCAAAAATCCAATTTTAATAATATTAATATTAATAATATTAATTAATAATATAGCCTAACTGTGGTGAGCAAAAAAAATCACCTGTTCAGTCCCCTGAGGTAAATACCACTTTTTTTGTGTATTGGAATATTTAGACATTAAAGTTAAATTTTAAAGTTAAAGGTGTGACATCTGAGGAATCTTAGTTTACTTTAGCAGTAGATTGAAAAGTTGAAAACAAATCATTGCATATTGCTTTTAATAATTTATAACAGAGGTTTCAATTAGAATAGATTGCCAAACGGTGTAAGTAGTGGTGTTTTGGTCACCTGACCAAATCCCTAATGGTGATATTGAGCTTTTCTTATGGGAATAAGTAATTATACATTTATATAAAGGAAAGAGTTGTAGTAGATGAAGGAATATTTTTCACTTCTGCATCATTTTTGTTTATCCATAGATCTTAATTTGGGAAAAACAGTAGATAGAATCAAACTGGTCACTGTGCATTGATCCATCAGCCTTACAGCGTTTCAGATCATGCAGACTGTTTCCCTCTAACAAGATTACAAGCTGGAAAGAAAAGGCTGATCTTCCATATAGGAACATCAGAGGAGAGGGCACTTCTGTATGAGATGCATCATGACTGAAAAGGCTCATCAGTCTGTGAATTCTTTCCACTCCCAAATCAATACTTGGAGAAGTGTGTACGTGAAAGAAGACTTGCAACAAGACTCTTGTGTGTTTGAACGTTGCCATTGTGTCTCGGGCCCTGAATGAGGAGGTATGTGCATAATACAGAACCCATGACAGTGCCGCGTGGAAGTAAAGGATTAGGCCTGTGACAGGAAATCACGTTCTCTTCAATCTGTTCTCCTTTTGCTGCTCATTAAATATTCCACATTTTCTATCGCTCTGGAGCTTCGAGCCTCTCCAGGAAGCCTGCTAGCAATTTTTCTTCATTCTGCATTTGTGTATTCTGCTGTGATAGAGGACTTTATGATAACATTGTAAAAATAGGCATCCAGAAGCATTAGAATGATGATCTTTTATGGGGAATTACATTTCAGGCTATAGTACTAACTGCTGCAGCTTTGACCAAATGTGGTCACTGGATTGTTTTCCCCTGTGGTCTCTTCCCGGCGCTTTTTTTTTTTTTTGCTCATCCTGTAGTTTCTTTTTAGACACCATGTGACCTAACACCGGCCACAGCTACCACACATGTGGTGTGTGACTTGAAGAGACAAATATTGAAGGCTGGAGACTGTGTGTAGTGTAAAATATACTTGTTTTAAATAGAATTGGAGATGAGACGAGAGCTCCCTGTGTGAGAATAATGAGGAAAAACACAAAAGGGCAAAAGTTCAGCTTTGCTCGTGGGGCTGACTTTTTTCACTACATGTCTGTTGGCTAATGTGTGTCTTGTGGACACTATGGAAATGAGAATGTGCAGGACAGACGTCTACGCTTCAGTGCCTTTTTTTGGGTATTTTCTATCTCCAGTCCAAAGGCAAAGTGTGTTTGTGTTAGAGAATAAGGAGGGTTGGGGAGGTGCAGGGGTGGTTTAGACTCTTTAATTTAATTAAATTTGTCTGCTGTGAGCTTGTCTGAAAATATGGAAATCCAACAAGGCGGCCTTGACTGGTAGATTTGCTCCTTACCTACATAAAAAAACAGACATGTTGTAATTAAAGCAGCTAAAAGGAACAATAAAATATATGTATGGGTGATTTTATGTTTCTTTCCAAGTTAAGCATATACAGCATACATGAGAGATCAGAATCATCAACAAAGGATTTTATCCCATACACACACAGGTCTAATTATGAGTCAGTCGACAGGTGAAGACGTTGTTTATGAAGCCTGAGGAGAACAGAAATTTAAAGCACATTCTCTCTGGGGCGTTCAGTGTGCCAGCTAATTGGAGCTGTGATTCCACAAGAGCTCTGTGGGAATACGTGGCGTTAGATGCACTTAGGGTTCTGATTAATGATTATTTTGTTTATCTGCACAGTCTCTGGTTGTTTTCTCTGTGTAATGTCAGACGAGGAAAAGGCAGATCATACGGTATTAATTATCAAAGGCTCCAAATGTCCATTACATCATGAAATTAGTGTAATGGGGAAAATATTGATCTGGAAAAAGCAGAATCTTCTGTAAAAAAGAAGTAAAAAGATCAGCTATTTAAATATATATATATATATATATACACAAATGTGTAATAGACAGAAATAGCATAATATTCATATTAGTGAAGTTGGGCTTCAGTTATATTAATCTTGATAAGGCAGAAATTAAAGTGGGAGTTAATGGAAGTTCTTTTCAGTTCCTTTATGTAAACAGTTTAAAAAAGATTTATAAATGATCTGATACAGTGTTGCACAGTGACAAATAGAGAGTTTTTGCTGTCAATCAACGCTGTGAAATTAGAAGAACAGTTAGGCTAACACAGCTCTCTTTAAAGCTCACACAAATCCTCTTCTATACATGCATTTTACAAATATTATCACAGAAACCAAAATGTGGAAACTGCAGTTCCGTGGGCATGTAGAACGCACACTCAATATTTGCATGTGTAAATTGGTGGCTTACAGCAGTTGAGTCACTTTCAAACTCAGATTTTGAAATGTATGTGCCCCGTTAATTAGAAGACAAATCCTGCCTCCAGAAAGGCTCGGCTAATCCCAAACATTTAGGGATTTGACCCGAGTCATTTCCTCCATTAAAATAAAAATAAGCACATTGATGTTGATGGTTATCTGCCATGTGGAAGAGAATGCTTTATATAACTTTTGTGAAAGTGTGAACCAAGTGTGTGAGTGCAGGAGCAGGTTGGATGGCAGGAAGTTAAGGTAGAAAATTAAATCCTTCAACAGAGCCAATCACTTAACTAGTAGATAAATGGATTGCTGTGTCGCAGAACATCTGGTGTTGTAGCTAGGCCTGAACCTAAAGCCACTTAGAGGCTGCAGTGATGGGCTCGGTAATTGACAGGCTTACTGCAAACCTAACATCAGTGTCTGGGAATAATTACAGTCGACGTTTGTTCCTGCTGTAATGGGCTGTTTAATTGCTGATCAGATGTTTTTGCAACAGTCATATGGAAGGTTTTTATGACGACACCTCCCATACATGCATGTAAGCTTTACAACAATCTGTACAGTATGTAGTGTGGCAGTTCTGCTGCCCTTGAAAACTGCAGTGGTGTCTCAAATCGTGGTTTGCAGCCAACATTGGCTCCTGCCTCGTTGGCCCACAGGGGCCAGAGGCAGCTTTGGCTGTAAGTCATGTCCTTGTTGAATGTGACATTAGAGCTGACATAGGATTCAATATCCTGCAGAACTGTACTTGAATATAAAGTACTTCTGAAGCTGGGAGGTAATGCATTCTGCTACATAGAATGGGATCCAACTGTTGCAGTATAATGCTGGACACAAATGCTGGGATCTCTTACTTATTCCACTTGGAATATTTTAGGCACAAGCTGAAAGTGTTCCAGGCAAAGAAAGGAAACTTTTTCTTTTTTTTTTAAACTACATGCCTGACCAGCATACATTAATATTTGGATTGTTTTTGAAAAGATACTTTGAAGTCCAGTTATCTGACTGTATAAATGAAACAGAGAAGGAAAAACAGTGGAGGAGATGAGACACAGGAGACGATGTCGCCCTTACCTTATACAGCTGTTGTATTTAAATATCTATTTATTAAAAAAACAAAAAACATTTGTTACGTTTATTGAAGTACAGAGTACTTTTCCCTGGGCTCTACCATTGATTATTTGATGTCAGGCTGCTGCACCTCATTGAAGTTGTGGTAGATGGATCTGCCAGTTTACCAGTACGACCTTCGACCTGTGTGTGGACCTTCTAGTGCAGTGTTCCTACTCGTAAATCTGACTTCCCAGTTGTCTGGAACACACCATAATTGGTAGGGCAAAAACTGATATTATTTTAAGAAGTAGCCTAACTGGATGGATGAATGAGATGAAGAAAGGATGGATGTATATGTGAAAAGATGGGAGGATGGATGGATGGAGAAGTGGATTGATGATTTCTAGTAAATGTGTTTTTAAACCCATGCTGTGTATGGGCTTTACTATGGCTGGACGATATGCACTAAAAATCATATCTCAATATTTTTTAGCTGAATGGTGATACTTGATGTATATCGATTTATTTTTGTGACGTGTTGTAACAAACGCTCAGTTAATGAAGGTGCCAGTGTGACATGCCGGACATCAAGATACCCCCCGGCCTTAGGTTTTACACATTACCCTTGTAGACAATGGTGTTTTGCAGCCAGGACCAACACCTGATGAGGTGAAGTCCAGAAGTGAATCCACAAACACCCAGAACAGTGTATTTCAGGGTGTCGTTCAGCAAACCTAAATGCCTCTTGCTTTCAAACTCCAGACGTGCATGTTTACCATCTTGTCACTTGATTGCCCGTTGATTTTTAGATGACACATTGGAAAGCACAGCATTCATCTTTTCTGTCTGTATTTGTCCCTCACTGACGCCTCGTCATGTTGTGGCTTCAGGCGTCAGAGATTGACTTTAACCACACGATACAAAGAAGACGTTCACCACACGCCTGTTAAAGTGTGCGTGGGCTGCTCCTCTTTCTGTTCCCATCCTTTTGGCTTTTTGTTTTTCTCTCGCTGCTCACTGCTTCGTGTAGTTTTGGTCAGGGGTGACTGTCAATGAGTGGGAATGGTAGATACAGAGTCTAACTGTGAGGGCGGTGATGGCAGGGAGCATTGTAGAGGAGAGAAAAAAGAGAGACATCACTGAGGCCACAGGGACGGTGGCTAT